CTATTTTGTGATATCAATATGTTCGCACAGGTTCATTCTATTTCTTGATTGTAAGCAAGTATCTTAATCATAAACAAATTACAGATACGAACCAGTTCAAAAAATACAATTTTTGCCAAAATGACATTACCTCCGGTGATAATGAAAATCTTATATTACTTTGATGAAATAGTCAATGGCATTAGGCATCACTAAATTTTATGAAAATCGAATAATAATTGACAATTTTATGTACCATAAACCTTGAAAAGTGACTTGTAGAAAATCGTCTATTTCTGGGCAACTGAATAAGTTAAAAACTACTTTGTGATATATATATATATCATATGATCGCATGAGTTCATTCTATTTGTTGATTGGAATCAAATATCTTAACAAGCCAACATAACAGTGAGGAGAGTTATTGTGTTCCAAAGTCTCAGCCAATTAAATTGCTTATCACTCTGCTTACCCTGAGCAGAAAATGCTCATTATCGAACTTAGTCAAGGTATTGATGTACTGAAACTATACACCAAGTTTCATCACTCTCACTTAATTAGAACTAAAGTTATCGTGTCCCAAAGGATCAACCAATCAGAAAATGCTCATCTTCAAACTCCATCAAGGTATTGACCTAATAAACACCTACACCATGTTTGAACACTCTAGCTCAATTAGAATGAGAGTTATTGTGTCTCAAAAAGTGTGATGGACAGACAGACGAATGGACAGACGGACGAACCAATTTTAACAGTGCCCTGCTTTCTTCGAAAGTCAGGGGACAATTATAAACAAAAAATAAGTTTGACTCAGTTGAATAAAATGTTGACAAAATGACACCATTTCCGGTGGCAGTGAAAATGTTAAATTGCTTTGACCTTATCACAATGTGCATTAGGCATCAAATGGTGAAAACAATTTCAAAATCGATCAATAACTGAAACTTTTATAGGCAAAAGAAACATGAAAAGTGACTCGTGCAAAATTGCCTATTTCTCGGCAACCACTTAAGTTGCAAACTTACTTTCATATAGATTGTCTTCATATGGATTATGGCTACACGTTTATAAAAGTTACGAAATGAAATGAAATGAAATGGGGTTTAACGTCCTACTGTTTTGCTCCTATACTGAGCTAATGATGACGGGCATACGCCATACAGTGTGCTATGAGGGAAATTTTGCCCAGGCAGCGGCACTATCGCCTACTCTTATATCGAATTCCAACTGCCAAGTGATCTTTTACATGCATTCTAATGTATACACTGGACCTCGGTTTTTCGTATCATCCAAAGGACTAGACAGCTGTCCTTGTCAGGCCTAAAAGTTACGAAGAAATATTCTAAAACATGAAGATGCTGAATGTGTTGCAAATAGCTTAATTTTACACCCTTTTTCACCTTTTATTCGAAAGGCCCGAAAATGAAATCGAAATTAAAAGATTGGTTGCCAGCCAACAAAACATACGCCCACAGCAGCTAAATTGTCCGAGCAGTCGACAAGGGATGTCACATATTTATTTTTTTGTAGGTAATTAGGGGAATTTAATAGACAATTTCATACAGATGACATAATTTTGGTCGTTTGAGGGTTCTCAAGGTTCTAAAAACTAAAACAAGGGCTGTAACTCTGGAAGTAATCTACAGAAATTGTTGAAATTCAACAGGCTTTTTCGTTCTAATTCAAATAATGCAAACAAATTTCATACAGATCGGATGATAATTTTTGTCGTTCGAACTTTCACAAGGTTCAACAAAGTAAAACAAGGGCCCAAACTCTATAAGTAATTGACGGAAATTGCTGACATTCAATAGGCTTCTTCATTTCACTAATTTAAATGATGCATATGAATTTCATACAGATTAGGTGATAACTTTTGTTGTTCAAGCTTTCACAAGATTCAACAAAGTTAAACAAGGGCCATAACTCTAGATGTAATTACCGGAAATTTGCTGAAACTCAATAGGCTTGTTTGTTTTACTAAGATAAACGATACATATAAATTTCATACAGATCGGATAATAATTTTTGTTGTTAGAACATTCACAAGGTACAACAAAGTGAAACATGGGCCATAACTCTGGCGTAATTAACTGAAATCACTGAAATTCAATAGGCTTCTTCGTTGCACTAAATTAAATGATGGATATCAATTTCAAACAGATCGGATGATAACTGTTGTCATTAGAGCGTTCACAAGATTCAACAAAGTGAAACAAGGGCCATAACTCTAGATGTAATTAACGGAAATTGTTGAAATTCAATAGTATTCTTTCATTTACTAATTTAAATGATGCATATAAATTTCATACAGATCGGATAATAACTTTTATTGTTAGAGCATTCACAAGGTACAATAAAGTGAAACAAGGGCCATAACTCACGGCATAATTAATGGAAATTGCTGAAATTCAATAGGCTTCTTCATTTCACTAATTTAAATGATGCATATCAATTTCAAACACATTGGATGACAACTGTTGTCATTAGAGCGTTCACAAGATTCAACAAAGTGAAACAAGGGCCATAACTCTAGATGTAATAAACGGAAATTGCTGAAATTCATTAGGCTTCTTTGTTTTACTAATTTAAATGATGCACATAAATTTCATACAGATCGGATAATAAATTTTGTCGTTAGAGCATTCACATGGTACAACAAAGTGAAACAAGAGCCATAACTCACGGCATAATTAATAGAAATTGCTGAAATTCAATAGGCTTCTTCGTTTCACTAACAGATCGGATGATAACTGTTGTCGTTAGAGAGTTCACAAGATTCAACAAAGTGAAACAAGGGCCATAACTCTAGATGTAATTAACGGAAATTGCTGAAATTCAATAAGCTTCTTTGTTTTACTAATTTAATTATGCATATAAATTTCATAGAGATCGGTTGATAACTTTTGTCGTTAGTAGAGCGTTCACAAGGTGCAACAAAGTGAAACAAGGGCCATAACTCCTGTAGAAATTAACAGAAGTTATTGAAATTATATAGGCTTTTTCATCTCACTAATGCAAACAACATATATCAATTTCAAAGCAATCAGATGATAAATGTAGTCTGTAGAGTGTTCACAAGAAATTGTGGACGATGGACGGACGGACGGACAGACGGGGGCGACAGCAATATACGACCACATTTCCATGTTGGCATATAAAAACCTGAGCGCAAGATTCTAAGCGCCTTTACAGGCCAAACCCTTTAAGTCGTATCAGATTTTAAAAAAATAATATTTCCCTTCAAAAGTGGTACCGAACTGTCAAAATAAAACAGTTTTTTGTAAAAATTTAAATTTGCTAAATTTGGCACCTAATATCTACGACAGTTTGCCAAAAATGAAAAATCAAAAGTAGCGTAGCTATGTGCCATGTCTCTGGCTATGCCAAAATGTATAGAAAGTTAAAATATAACAATTATTGTTAAAATTATGCCGATATTTTTAAAGATAGGTTGCCAGGCAACTAAATCGTCCGGGCAGTCAACAAAGGTTGTCCCATATTTTTACTTTTTTTCGGTAATGAAACATTTATAATACACTAAAATCTGATTAAGAGCAACAACTCACGAAGTAATTATCAGAAAACTATTAGAATTTGTTTGGTTTTTATAAAGTTCTGCCCCATGCTAACGTTTTGTATGCAGAGCTTTTAATATCATGGATTTAACTGTTCAAGTCATAAAAATTCATTGAAAATCAATATACTTGTTCGTGTCAAGATCTTTAACTCTGTGTATCAATCTGAAGTCAATCGGATGATAACTTTATCCTTTAGAGCGTCACAAGATTTTGCAAAGTGATCAAGGGCCATAACTCTGGCAGTAATTATCGGAAATCGCTAAAAATCAATAGGCTTCTTCGTCTTAAGACCTTAAACACTGTGTATAAATTTAAAGTCAATCAGATATTAACTTTAGCCTCTAGAGCGGACTGACGGACGGGGGCGACGACAATATACGACCACATTTCAATGTGGGCGTATAAAAACGACAACTTCAGTGATTTTGGACATATCGCACTGTGGTAGAACGTTCAAAATAGCTTTATACTCTAAGTCACACCCACTTTCCCAGTAAAACCGAAGACATTGATCCGACAAGTAATTGCTGAGTTATAAGCAAAGTGGAAAAAGAAAAATAAGAATGAAAATAATCCGAACAAAAACAATAGTGTTTCACACAAGCTCCGCAGTGTGAAACCCTAATAAAGTCATAAAGAATGGCATATCAAATGTCGATGTAAATTATTCCTTTGGAAAATTTGACAACCGCAAACACGTTTTCCTACCACTCCAATCCATGAATACAGCAACTACACAGTGGCCTAACAAGTCTAGCTGGCTGACTCGAATTCCAATCAACCAAATTCAATGTGGTCCAATATAGCCTACCTGAGGTGGCTGACCCGAATCACAAACAACCGATCGTCGCAGGGTATGGGGGCCTCACCCTCCTGGAGAAAATTTTGAAAATGTAACCGTTGCAAATGCGTTTTTCTGCTATTCTAGCCCGTGAGTTAAGCAACTCCAAAGTTGTCCTGTTATATAGTATCATACTATATGTGTTGTCCCTTTAATGTAAGGTTGTATGTATGTGAGGGAGTGCATACACTCCAGTGAGAGAGGTCAGTTTACTTGTGGTTGTCAGTGTGGGAGGACATAGCACTGAGTTGTAGTTTTGATAACAGTGAACTGGAATAAACTCTTTTACAACTTATACTTTTCTACATATGATTATATGATAACTATACCACGTGGAAAAACAACGTTCTCGAGATGATAAAATAAAAATATGAAGATATTGTACATGTTAGACTTGATTTATACAATGTAAATAAAATGATTAACTATGACGAGGATCATTAACCTATACCCGTCAAGGAAAATAAACTAGATATTAAGGGAATTACCCCCGAAAGACGAACACAATAATATAATGAAATTTATTTTATGATCAGCAGTGGAATACCGCGTTTTATCAGTGAAATAAAAGTGTTATTCCACTGGCTAGTTGTTTTTACCTAAAATGATTGTAAAATCATAAAGTAAATAGAACATTTGTCGTTTTGTCGTGAATGCATGAGTGAAAATATAAACGTTTTCTTGCTTAGAGATGAAATAAAATATGTTTTTCACTCTAAAACGACAAATATCCTCTATATAATTTCCTTGTCGTAATCCCGTGTCAAGGTCGTTGAGAATCAACCCGCACCGACTTCATGTTTTTACTAATAAATAATATTAAAAGTAATGAATGGAGTTAAATACCTGTCTATAATATGTCTGGCAGTTAGTTTGACACAAGCAAATGTTACAAACAAGCAAGGATTTGTAGTTTTTGACAATTTTTATCGAATAAACAACACAATTTTCCCCGAACTCTACAAAAATACTACGAACTTCTCGTGGTCCAATTTCGACCAATAAAATTGCTTGCTTGAGATAGCCAACTTTGCGCTGATTGTAGTGTGTCAGACGCAACTATATATTTAGTCTGGAGGCTCAGCGCGGGGGGGGGGGGGTCCATCAAATGGGCACAAAACCAGATCCAACTTTTCTAGAGCAAAATTTTGCGTAGAATACGATGCCGAGTAGTAATCAGTCCGCCGTTGGGGCGTTTTCAAGATATTCGGGGTCAAAGTGAATGCGCGGTCATTCTTAAGTATCATGAAAGCTGAAAATGATCGAAAGTAATCACACTTTCAATAAAAACGTAAACTTGCTAAATTCACCTTTGTTCTTTGTGACCCCAGAGGTCAAAAGGTCACATTTTCCGTTTTAGCAGTATAATAGGAAGATTTAAAGTAATAAATGTCGGCGTAAAATATAAAAACTAAAGCGAAACCAGTTCTAATTAATATTAAGATCTATCTTTAGGTGGTCTTAGCACCAAATTTTTACTTTGGAACGTCGAAAATGATCTTGCATAACAGAACCAAAACGCTTCGGAGCATGTTTCAAAAATACGTAAAAACTGTTAAATCAAAATCTCTCCGAATTAGTTTTACAACAAATGCTATACATAATGATACTAGTTGTCTGAAAAAAAAACAATTAAATGGTTCCATGGCTGGACTCCAGCCTGCAGGCCGCGTCACAAAGCCTGTCAAAATTTTCCCCGCTAACATTTACCAATACGACATATATATCCTGGGAACTACTATATGTACAATGCATTCGTCGGTTTTATCTGCGTCCATGTTCCGGCGAAATTCATAAAAACTCATAAAAAGTTTGTAAACTTTTAATCTCGTCGCTAGATGCGTGTTTTCCCGTCACAGTTTAACGTCAAGAATCCCCAGCTGAAACCAGACACAAAGCAGCCAAGATTTCACCCGAAGAATCTCAGAAAGACGAAAACTCTAAAATAAATAAAGGTAGAGTTGATAATTCCTTATTTGATAGTAATCAATTCCGCTCTATTATTCAAGAGGCTGTGTCCACAGCGGTAGAGGGAATAGAAAATAGACTGATTTCGTACATCGAAAACAAATATTCTGCACAAATATGAAAGACTAACTGAAGTCGAGCTCACCCAGCAAAAAATAGGTCAGGACGTAAATGACTTTCACGAAAGATTTGAGGCCCTTGAAAACAATCTAAAGAAAAAAGAAATAGAATATCAAGCCCTAGCCGACAAAATGAACAATCTTGAGCAATATACAAGAAAATCCCACTTAAGAGTATTTGGCGTTCCAGAAACGGCTAACGAAGACTGTGTAAACAAAATAAATGACATTATTAAAAACAAACTGAAAATAGAGTGTCCCATCTCAATCGAGGTAGCACATAGAGTTGGAACTCCACAAAAACCAGGTGTTAGTACTAATTCCAAACCAAGGGGGATCATAGTTCGAATTCTCCGTCGTGATGAGAGGCAAATTGTCTTAACTAACAGGCGTAAACTGAGCAAAACTGGAATCTCATTTGCAGGAAGACATGACGTTGGAAAATGTAAAACAACTACAGCGTCTACAAAACCAACCACTAGTCAAAGCCTCATGGTTTACAAATGGTAAAATTCGTGCACAAGGGCATAACGACAAAATCTGCAAAATCGATCTCTACCCCTAAACAGAAGAACAGATAATTAATAAGCTGAGTGGCTAAAACTATTGTGACCTATATTACTACCATATGTGTCGTGAAAAATGACATAAGAACAACAAAATGTGCAACTATAAAATCTACGTACTACTTAATTGTGTCAACTGGACCTACCCACCTAAAAACTCTTCCATTAAATTGAACTTACCTATTATTAATGTAAATGCTAACTAACGCTATAATTATAATATATAATAAATTCGATAACCCACCTCTAATAAGAGTAAATATAATTCCCAACTAAACCGTATTAACAAATACTATTAGATCTCTACCAGCCACTGAACTTGAATTACATGTATAATCAGTAATGAGTAAAAACTAACCCCATTATTTCAATCATAATGTATCCAAAATCATCAATGCAGTAATACATAATTCTGGTACCTGATATTAATATAAGATATCTACCAATATTTATTATAAAAATGTAAATTTATTACTGTATAAAATTAATCACAAAACCCAAATGTTGATGCATAATTATGATATAAATACTTTGTCTCATGATATACTAGTACACAGTTCCTAATTACCTGGACAGTAAACATAATATTATTACTGCTGTGATGTGATAGGTCATAACCCTAAACATTGTAAACCCCCCCCCCTCAACGCCCCCATCCCCACCCACCCCACCCCACCTTCCTCCCAACGCCACATTTGGATCGGTAAAAACTTTTTTTTTTTTTTTTAATTTTATGCTAAATATTAAATACGCTATTAGCTCTTCTGGAATTGCTATCAAATTTCGCAGTTTCGTTAACCTGCCTTAATTACCCAATATACACATACCAACTTATTAAGCAAACTATGGAAGTCTGCTTCTAATAATTTTAACAAGGCAAAATATTTCTAGTTTTTCAAATTTATATTGAGTTATTTATAATAGCAATCGATAGCTTTTTCAATTGAAGATGGTATCTAATAGTCGTATTAAAGTTGTTTCGAGTATAGTCGATTAATACGGCAAGATGATACGCTCTGATAAACATTGGTAGTTTGGTTTGATATACTAAACACTTGTCTTGAGAGCAATGCTAAAAATGAGTTACGAGAATTAAATGCTCGAAATGTTAATCTTAAAGAAAAGTCCGAGGTGGCGTTTAGATGATACACATTCTTAGCCCAATGAACCTATCCCAAGCTACGTGTTACGCTAAATGTGACTAGAAAAACGCGACTACATATTATTATGCAACATAGACTGTAGGTGCCTGGAAACACGCGACTAGATATGTCTGTACTGTAATACAGTTTAAAACATAGATATGACGTCACCCTTTGATGTTTTTAACCAGTATATAGGAGAATGTACGCCTTTCTTAAACAAGCATCTATTATTTATAAAACTGCATATTTTCAATAAATAATGGACAGTTTTATAAATAATAGACGCTTGTTTAAGAAAATACCAATAATAGACACTTATCTGAAAAATGAACATGTATTTTGGGATAATTTATTCTCTGAACAAATTAAATTACAGAACATGAAATTACTTTAAAACCTCATAGTTACCGAAATGTCACATGACCAAATGTTGATTTCACGTGTTTGTCTACATAAAGAATTGCACTTAAATCCGTCCGTTATATGCCACTTGTCCGTTTAATAGTACGTTCGGCACTAGATCTATGATACGTTTTTATACGCCCACATTTTCACACCTCCTTTGTGGACACTCTACAGGTTATAACTTGAAATATACGTATATATCCCAAATATCTTGGTTCCTTTCGTTATTGACTTGTATGGGACCGTAACTTCATGGATTATGACCCCCAACTGTACACACTAGAGGTCACAATTATTAGCCCATTTTGATGAAACTGAACATGTGTGTTTATAACCCAAAGATCTCGATTCCTTGCGATATTGGCACATATCGGACCATAACTTCCTGAATTATGGCCCCTGATTGAACAAAAAAAAAACGTGTTTTGAGCCTGTGGAACCTATACAGGTCACAATTTTTATCCGATTTAAAAAAAACGTTCATGCACCGTTACACCATAATAACAGTTGAGTTTGAATTTCGTGAATTGGTTTGTGCCTTTGATCCTGTGTCTTGTCACTTATATCAGAGTATATATTAAATTTTAATTCAAAATTTGAACGGCTAGTACCCTCCATATTAACCACAGTACTAAGATTATTATCAATATCTAAATCATTTTCGTGAGCGGCCTTTCCATCACAACTTTGACGGCTATCATTCTCCCATATCAAGAACATCACAATTTTTACGACTATTATCTTCCATATTGAGTACACTACCAATTTAATCAGTATCCAAATGCTTATCACATATATTCTCATTATTGTTAATATTTGTTTTCAACTATGTTATAAACATGTCGTCTCCATGTCGAATATTTTGGACTGTCTGTGTATGCTTGCATTGTATGACTTGGAGTATTTTGTCAAGTGCATTCATGAGCATGTGCATGTTGTTTTAAGAATATATCCATTATTTTATGGCTTGTTGTTTTAGAAAACTATCCATTATTTGTATCTTTATGGTGCTATGTTTTAAGTTTGATAATAGCCTCAGACTGTCCATTATGTAAATACAAAGAAAAACTTTGGGGCTAACGCCCCTCAGTTGTTCTTTCTATTTACATAATGGACAGTCTTCGGCCATTATTCATCACGTCCAATAGTCGCATTCGGTATTTTAGCGTGTTAACTCATGAAAGCCATGCCATAAATTTAACTTGTATTATGGATGAATGATCTTCTTTTGTTCTTTTCCTTAAATAAGCAAATTATTTTCCCTGTAGTATATTGGGTGGAGCTAATCAGTGCAATAACTAGACATTTTCAATATTATTGCACGATTTTACTCGGTCAACACAAGTTACAGGTCATCTATATAACCTAATCATAATGTATCCAAAATCATCATAGCAGTAATACATAACTAGACAATAACTAGACATGTGCAATAACTAGACATGTTCAATGTTATTGCACGATTTTACTTGGTCAACACAAGTTACAGGTCATCTGTATAACCTAATCATAATGTATCCAAAATCATCATAACAGTAATACATAATTCTGGTACCTGATATATAAGATATCTGTACCAATATTTATTATAAAAATGTAAATTTATTATTGTATAAAATTAATCGCAAAACCAAAATGTTTAAAGGAGCTAAGTCGCTAATATTTGGGACCTAGAAATTGGCACAAATGGGTCGCAACACATATAATAATGTAATATGAATTTATATAAACTGTTTTACATTCAATCGTGTCCGTTTTACTGTGAATTGTCATCAGTTATGTTCGGCGAAATACGCCAGAAGTCTCAACCGCAAGTCAGTTTCTAGTGTCTGGTTATTCCAGTCAACACCGATAATATTTATTGCGCATGCTCTCCAAATAAGAACATGATATCACCGTTTCACATGACTTGTGGAATATGTCTAGTCTCATTCTTTGAGCACCTTGTTACAAACGGCGCTGAAACGCATAATGGTACACGATTCGTGTACCAATGGTAAAATGTTTATTTTGTCTTAAATATTGGATATCAGAAGCCCATCTTTTCCAGGTAAGATCACAACACCAATGCTGATTTAAATTGCCCAAAAAATCGTGTTTTCAATGTCGAAGATTTTGGATGATATTGAGTTACGGACTTAGCTTCTTTAAGTATATTTATGACATAAATGCTTTGTCTCATGATGTACTAGTACACAGTTCCTTACCTGGACAGTAAACATAATATTATTACTGCTATGATGTGATAGGTCATAAAACTAAACATTGTACCCCCCCCCCCCTCCCCGTTCTCAACGCCATATTTGTATTGGTATAGGAAACTTATTTTTACAGTTAATGTTATGCTAAATATTTAATACGCTATTAGCTCTTCTGAAATTGCTATCAAATTTCGCAGTTTCGTCAATCTGCCTTTACCGAATATACACATACCAACTTGTTAAGCTAACTAGTGCAGTCTGGCTCTAATGATATTAACATGACAATACAACTTTTAATTTATCAAATTTACAAAATAAGAACATTGATATATTTACAATAGCAGTCGATAGCTTTTTCGATTGAAGATGGTATCTAATAGTCGTATTAATGTTGTTTTGAGTATAAGGCAAGATGATACGCTCTGATAAACATTATTGGTAGTTTGGTTCGATATACTAAACACTTGTCTTGAGAACAATTGCTAACAATTAAATGTGAGAAAACAATACTCGAAATGTTTTTCTTAAAGGGTAAGTCTCAGATCGGGTTTGGATGTTACACATTCTTAGCCCCAAGAATAAATACAAGCTAATGAAAAAGTGACATAGACTGGAAAAAGATATCCCAACACTGTGGGTACTTGGAAACATACGACTATATGTCTATACTGAAATAGAGTGTCTAATAGTCGAATGACTAACTACTTAAACTAATGGCACTGTGGATGCCTGGAAACACACGACTGTATGGCTATACTGCATTAGAGTGACCAATTGCCAATAGTCGCATGCGTCAGGACATTCGTCTAACTACTTTAAACAATGACTACGCAGCTATTTAAGCGAGAAAATTAATTAGTCATAAACGTAAACAAAACAAAAATTTGATCAATATTTCTAAATACACCACAATATTTACACTTTAGCGGCAGTTAAATATTTTAAGCAACCCGAGACTGACCCTTTGAGTTTAACAAAGTAAGACATTATAAGGTAAGAACATGTATATGGAAAATGAAATAATATCATCGGATTGGGAGTGTACCGAGCTACAAAATATCTCTAAAACTTTTAGTGAGGTAAAACTTGTAATCACAACCCGCGATGATGATTTGCATATTACATTGTTTATTTTTTGTGTTTTTGTATATACTTTTCATTCTTATATTTTATATATCATTATACCTGTTCAATACTTATGTACATTCTATGCATAACTTGATTATTGACATTTGTAACTGTAAATATGTTATTGTATTTGATTTATTACGTACCCTACAACCCCGACCTCATTATAATTATTTTGGATTAACCCATTTTGAATATTTTGTATTATTGCCCTTAACATGTCATATTATACCATATACTTTAGCCAGTGCCCTTACTTATATACTAATAATACTTTCAGGTGATGTAGAACTTCATTCTTTAACTGTAAATAATTCACTGTTTTTGTCTGTGTATACGTTTTATTTGTTTACTAGTTATTTACATCATAGCACACTGTATGGCGTATGCCCGTCTTCATTAGCCCAGTATAGGAGCAGAACAGTAGGACGTTAAACCCCATTTCATTTCATTCGGGCATGTGCCTTAATTTCAAGTTTGATTAAGACGTTAACAAAAAAAAAGAGAAGGCAGACAAAGCAAATCAAGATGCCAATTAAAAACTAGATAGTAATTATCTACGAGAATGAAATGGTCATGTAAACTTACTTATATTATGTCAGTCTGTTTCACAGAGTATTATGAAAGTCTTCTAATATCTCTGTAAAAGATGACTGCCTTCAACACATGACGTCATATCACGCGGCGTCAATCATTGGCTCAATGGCGCGTGCATTGTTTACATAAGACGTTACTGATTCGAGCAGAATGGCGCCTTTCACATTTTAATACCTATTTACAGTAAAACAGGAAATATTTTTACTTACAAATACTTCAAACGTCTTTATTTATTTTTCTAATACATAAAAAAAAATGTTTTAGAATTTAATTTGTCGGAGGAAAAAAGTTAATATTTGGTTCTCATTAAGTCGCATCGATGTCATCCTTATCAGTGATTGTCGCGGCCTAGCGAATATTCACTGCGGATCAGTGTGATATTATGTATCATAATAATAATATTCTTATTATTTTTTTTCATTTTTCAGCTAGATCCCATCGCTGCACTGCATTATGATCATATTGCTCAACCAATACCACTACCTAAACCCAGTTCAAGTAATTATTTTGAGAAACCTGCAGTAGTTGAATCAAAGGTTTTAAGGTAACAATGGGTTTATCAGCTTTAGAATGATTATTTCCTGTCACATGTGCTCACGGTATTCATACAAAGGCTTAGAATCACTGTCTTCTGTCCTATACTGGGGGTTTGGGTTGTCGAATGGTTAACACATGCATTTTAGATCATAAGGGTTGTGAGTGAGTGAAGTGAGGTTGTTTCGAACTATTCGAAACAATACTTGTCTGTGACAAGGCTCGCCTGTCCAACCCCGTGGGTTTCCTCCGGGTCCTACAACGCGGACAGGAATTATTGAAATAAAACTGGACAATTTGTCAGTCCAAAAATGACCTATCTAGTTTGTGTCTAAAATTGAGAACATTGTGTTAATGCCATATTTTTTTTTATTAATGACTAGTCTAATTATTATATTTATTGAAATTAGACCCTAGGTTTTAGCAGCAAACAATTAAAATATTTTATTGCCATATTTACAAAATCAGTCTCTGGTATAAAATTTTTGAATATAATTAATTATTTATGTACAAATTTTATATAATTATGAATTTCTTTACAGAGTTTCTATAAAGTCAAATCAAATTGAGAATAAAAACTGTGAAGAAAATGCTTTGATTAATAAAATGGTACAGACAGAGAATATATGCTATCGCAGGTTAGTTAAACTCATTTTATAGACATGTAGATTTTTTATAAGATATGACTGTAAATGTTCAACATAAAAACATGATTATTTTGAAACAAGTTGCTGCAGGGTTTCTATTTCGGGAAATATTCTCTCTATGCAGAATCCTGTCTTGTAAAAGTGACAAAGTTGCAAAATTGTGCCCCAGTTATGAGAAGTTGTCCCTGAATCAGAAACCAGTGAATATGGTTTCTAGACAATTTATATTCATCATCATTTTGAATTAAAAAGAAATCTTTCAGTTTATTACATGCTTCTGTAAGTGTCAAATCTCGAGCCGAAAAAGGCCATTTAATTTCAACGAGCCCAGTCTCGCCTTTATCACAAACAATTGCATCTGGTGTAGCACTTAAAAATGAAAAAGCTGGATTTATTACAAGTCCAATGTCAGGAATATGATTCCCAGTCTGTTTGATATACATTAAATTGTTCAGCAATGGTTTCGTTTGTTTGCTTATAAGAAGTTGGAACAGAATAAAAATTACTTATGTCAAATGTGTTTTTTAAAAATGAATTGTTTCTTTCTTTTCATAATAGCTCCAAAATTTGAGGCAGTAACACCACACTTTCTTTCGTTCATCCAGGTCTTATTATTATTTCTTGTGAATCTCTCTATACTCAGCCAAATTAAAAACTTGACACTGATGAATTTCAACAATTTTTTTTTTCTGGTAAGTCAAATAAATTTTAAAGTGTTTCTAACGATAGTAAGTAGCAAGAAGCCTTTAATTTCATAAAATTGTAAAGTCACGTGGATCACGTGACTTTTGAGCATATAAACATGAAAAACCTGAAAAACACGTGCAATCACAAACTCGTGAGGTCAATCGATGCAAGTTTGCTTAAACTGAACACGCACACGTAACTTGAACTGGAAAAACAAATTGAAATTGTTATTTTCACCTTTGTTAGAAAATGTCGCGCCTTTCAAATGTAGAACGTCTACGTGCTATAGGTAGGCTCTATGCTGGCCAGTCTGTGGTCACTGTTGCAAGAGCCTTTAATTGTTCACGTCAGGCAAAAATTAATCTTAGAATGAGAGTGCTTCAAACTGGAACTATTGCCGACCGCCCAAGTGCGGGAGCGCCACGTGTGACGTCACTCCAGGAAGATCAAGCAATACAATTACGTCATCTTAGAAACAGATTTGTCACTTCAACCTCCACAAGTAGAGAGATGTTTGGTGGAAGGGTAACTGCACAAACTGTTCGAAATCGCTTGCAGATTGCTGGTCTTCGAGCTCGGACCAATATTGACACCTCTTCATCGCCGTAACCGACTTGTGTGGGCCACAAGACACATAAGATTTACTCAAAGACAGTGGAATTCGGTTGTCTTTAGTGACGAATCTCGATTCACTTTGAGATTTGCCGAAGGCAGAGTCCGAGTGTACCGCAGACGAACTGGGTCGACGTGTTCGTCAGCAAGTGAATCCACCACTGACGTTGCAGGATCTTCAACATGCTCTTTCTGAGCAGTGGCGACGTCTTCCTCGGGTAGTGTTTACTAATGTTCTGAGATCCATGAGAAGACGTTGTGGGGCAGTACGAGACGCTAGAGGAGGCCACAACCGTTACTAAACACTGTATTCCGATTGTTCTCCAAGTCTGTGAATTTCATTTTGGGGGGTACTGTGACATCACGAACGTTATCAATGTCAAGGACTTTCGGCGAGACGTATTCTTGCTTTCTGTTGATGTCAAGGTCGTCTGTGCACAACATAACACTAAAATAGTTGCCTTAAACCATATATTAAAAATCTAGTCCCAAAAATCCCGAGTGTCAAGTTTTTAATTTGGCTGAGTATATTTATTTCCACTCAACTTTCATTAAATCTAAATCTACATCAACTGGTTTTTAAAAAACTTGTTCAACACATTTATCAGAGTTCTTTGTTCTCGGTTGAGTTGTCACTTGCATAAGGGGTGCCTGAAATACATATTGTAATCTATTTACTGTATATATTTTTCAGGATTTCAACCGCAGAAAATATGAAAATTAAGGAAGAATATGCAAAATTAATTGTGGAAAATGAAAATCTTAAATGCAGTCAAGTTCATCAAGTAGATAAAAGAACTAGTATGAACCTATCAGTACAATGTTTTAGCTGTTCAACTTTAAAAAAGATTCATTCAGTATTATACTGGCTTTCCTTAAGACTGTTTTTTTTATAAATTACCATTTGAATTTTCTAATAGTAGCAGCTTAGTGTTTCTCTAGACGATCAACTTCTATTAGTGCTACTAAAATTAAGACAGGAATTTGATTTTAAACGCATATCAAGTATGTTTGGAATTTCTTCTTAAGATTATAGCTGTTTATTTACTAATTGGATCAATTATATATTTTATAGACTTCACTCTCTTGTTATATGGCCACACAGAAATATTATCATTTAAAACTGATTATGGCTGACTTGTCTGTTGCATTTTAACAACTTTTATGCGATTCTTTATTGAGAAATAAAAATGGAATATAAAATACTGCATTATGTCTTTGTTACTGAAAATACAAGGGGATAACCAATGATATTGTTTTTATTACGGTTTTGCATCTGCGGTTTTGCTGAAAAACCTAAACTGGCCCAAATCAATATAGATACATTATTACGTACATGATATGCAAGGGGATCCAATAAGTTGAGGGCCAATAATGGGTGTTGTTATGGTGTCTGTTGTGCTGCTCACCAAGTATGAAATTGCATTTGACACTCCTTGTATTTTACCATACTTTTTGGATCATATTTTTAACTGGACGATCACAATAATTACATGACTACCTAAGAACATTTTCTTATGTGGTGGTTGCCCATACATGTCATCTGAACACTTACATGTTGTCGTTAAAATTAGCCATCACAGGCTTTCTTTTTCTGTCTTGAAATTATAATCTGTGAAACAGGGTCTGGTTAAATTTTCGCTGCTGTGGTAAACTCGTCGATGATGGTTGAGAAGGGACGCCATTATAGTTAATTTTATATGTTACAAGTCCCTGTAGGTTACAGGTCCCGGTAAACAAGAAATATCAACAGGCAGGTTGCAGTACACTGCAAATAGATTTCTATTGGCTCGCTTAGAAGCGCGCCATCTTCTTCATAATTTTTAAGACGAACCTCCATCAATACAATGGTTTCAACTCGCGCACAAAGCAGCGTGTTTTGACAAAAGATGAAACTATCACATCGTTTGAAGCCTGGAAACAGAACCTTACATACATTTTATTCCTGGATGACAACTTCGCCCCGTTTTCACTCCCGATATTGTATGGACTAAGAGAAGCAGGGATGACCCAAATCGAGGCTTTACTGACGAACGTTGGAAGACTGCAGCACAAAAAGTGTTTTTTTTGGAGCTCATGTTGGGTCAAATCGCAAATTTCTGCCCGGTGATAGCCCGCAACACAATTATTCACAAGTCTTTGAGTATAAGCTCTGCTTGGCAGTCTATCCGTGCTCACTATGGATTTCACCAAGTTCCAGGCCACAAACCTTGAAGCCACAACGTGTTACAAAAAGATCGCCTACAATCTGTCCTCTATGCTTATAATCAAACAGAGCTTCCACTGACCACTACCTTAGTCTATGTCCATATTTGCCCGAGAGCGACAGGAAGTTCATGTCACGAGCCAGGCAGATTATCGTAGACTCTGACGATGATGAGAACAGTAATATCATTTCAGATGCTAATAATGCTGATACGTCAACCTTGACGGTTTCATCACGAAGAGTTCATCTCGAAGAGTCCAAGTCGACCAGTCTCCCTATCTCGGTGCATTCTACGAGCACCATGCGATCCGCATAACTGTCGACTCTGGTTCCGAAACGAATATGATTAGTCATCCTCTTGCTCTCCAGTTGGGCATTCCTGTTACTAAAAGTACACAATACGCTACCCAGGCCGATGGTCGCACATTGTTAAACGTCGTGGGAGAAACTCGCTTTGAGTGAACAAGAGACGACCATATCCTATCAGTCATCGCAGTAGTCGTGGCCTCTATGGATGTCGAACTACTTGGAGGAACCCCTTTCATGTCTGTCAACGATGTTGCCGTGAGGCCTTCCAAGCAACACGTACTTATTGGTGGTCATATTTACCCATACAGTTCCTCTGCTCCAAAGACAAGTCCATCAGTACGACGAACTCAAGCTTCTATTTTAAGATCGACCACAGCAACCACTATTTGGCCTGGTAAATTCATAGAAGTAGATGTTCCAACTGAACTGAACAGCATCGACACAGTGGCAATAGAACCCCGGCTAGATATCTCTTCCCACCAGACAGAAACATTATGGCCTGCTTCGTCTGTCTTACGACCGATCGACGGAAAGTTACGTATACCTAACTCTACCGATTTGCCAATCACCGTTCGCAGAAACAGCCATTGATCACAAAATAAGTAAACTAAATCTCCAGTACGGGTGTTCTGTGGAGGAATGGACTTTCCGAGGGTGTTTTTGACCGTTCACTGTAAGGGTGATTCTTGAAACGTCGCACTTGTTGAGCATGTATAAGATTACTGTCATCGATGAGTAATTGTTCATTGGTGATTTGATCCCGCTTGCACCACATTTCTCTAGCCGACAAACCATTGACCCGAAGTCGAGAATTAACGCGGGCGATGACACAGCTTAATAAAACTGGGGTGATAGGAGATCCTGAAGGGTCCTGTCGGAGGATCTCATCCTCGATTTCTTGGATGGCGTATTCAGCAACAGGGTTTTTATTAATGTTCTTCGTTCGGGCAAGTTGGACATAAACACCATGTTGGTTCAGTAAGCAGTCATTGACCATAGCTTGAAAACAAGGGCCAGGATCACAACGTATAATACTATAGCCTTCAACTGGTACCATCTCAATACACAATTGGAGAAGGGCGTCACGGATAGTTTGGTGCTTTTCATCTACAACTAATTTCGCAGAAGTTTTGGAGGTAACACATTCACGCAGTACGAGAATTTTCTGTTTTGCGCGACATAAAACATCTGCGGCGAAATACACAATTGGAGAAGGGCGTCACGGATAGTTTGGTGCTTTTCATCTACAACTAATTTCGCAGAAGTTTTGGAGGTAACACATTCACGCAGTACGAGAATTTTCTGTTTTGCGCGACATAAAACATCTGCGGCGAAATAGGTCCCAACAGCTTTAGGTTGGGGTTCGCTAGTTTGTTGAATAATAGAAGATGGTATTTTGCGAAGAGCTGCACATTGTTGACAGTTTTTAGATACAGAGTCCACGGCTTGATCTAAATCCAATGCGTAGAAATATCTACGAACGATAAGGCGTGTTTGGTAGTTTGAGGGGTGATCCAAACGAATCTGTAACGCAGTGAGTAGACCTTGTATTAGGTCCCTTGGGATGACAATTAAGTCTCGTGTCACAGCTAAAGGGTCTGACTTTTTAACGACTAAGGTTCCATCTGATGCTATCGATACTGTATTGAGATACCGTTTGACGTCATGAATATTGGTAGATTTCTTTGACGGTCGAGTGCCCTGTGTAAGGTGGGCATGAACTCTACGCAGGTCCTTGCAATCTTGCTGAGCCTGGCGCCACATGGACCGATTTACAAATGGCAGCCTGACTGATCCATTCATAACATCTTTCACGTAAACGGCTCGAACAACAGAGTCCATGGTAACAGATATAAATGAGCAAACTTGGCAACTAATATCTT